GGTCAATAACACGATTAAGTCCCTCCGGTCACACATAAATTACCACACAGGTAAGTATAGTGAGAAGACTCACCTCGAATGTTGAGGCTTAGTGAAAGAAATCCCTAGCTGCTTCCCTGACGACTTCCCGATCTATTAGTAGAAAATAACATCCAATTAGCAATTGGGTTCCGACCTATGGCCCATAATCCAAACTTAGGGTAAAATGACCATTTTACCCTTGGTCCATCTTGAACCAAAACGGAGGCCCAAATCCAACGATCCACAAAGGCCCACTAATGGCCTAATTTTCCAAATTGGGCCCAACCCCAAGAACACAAGCAAAATGGACCAGAAAGGTCTAGAAATGAAGTCAGTTTACTGGATCTACACTTGGAACAACTTTCCTTGCGACAAAGGAAACCTTCTTGATCTTGAAGCTTAACCAAAAACACCAAAATTAGCACCAAAAATGGTTCAAGGAAAGATGATAAGCTCACAACACTCAAATGAGGCTAGGGTTTCTCTCAAGGGATGTTTTAGGGCTAATAGAAGCTAAAAAATAATAACCCATATGGGTTAAGGTGCTTTAAATAGTCCCACAAACCCTAAAAGTCGTTCAACCCATGTGCATGGGCGCCTGGACATAAATTTCCAGTTTTTCAGTTTACAGACTTTCAACGAATAAGCAGTTTTAAGTCATAATAAAATACGTATGAGGAATTCATATGTTACAGTTTATATTAATAACTTGTGGACACTTAATTTCTAAAATACACATGTATTATATTACCACTTAACTCTAACTTCATTTAGCTTAAATTAATCGTATGTTTCATAAGAAACACTAATGTATGATTGGTACCAGGGTCCCGTGTCTAAAACGACATGTTATATTGTACTTTTGGTTGTGGTGTTAGTATCATAATATGAAACAAGATGAAAACAACTTGCCAAGATAATAAATTATGTATACAAATAGTCACCTGACCAGTAGAAAAATGTTGAAAAATAATTCATTAGTGTGGTTTTATGACTATTTTGTAATGTTATTTTACATGTTAAATACAATTACATTTTGTATGATAACATTTTCTACACTAAAACATTAAGTCTCTACATTTTAAATTATGTAGTATGATAGATATAAAATAAATCTATAATTAAAAGATTAAAGTGAAACTTTAGGGGTCATGTAATTTATCATATGTTACAATTATGAGAATTTATAACACATTTAAAAGATGTACTATATGGAAATTGAGCATAAATTACCACACAGGTAAGTATAGTGAGAAGACTCACCTCGAATGTTGAGGCTTAGTGAAAGAAATCCCTAGCTGCTTCCCTGACGACTTCCCGATCTATTAGTAGAAAATAACATCCAATTAGCAATTGGGTTCCGACCTATGGCCCATAATCCAAACTTAGGTAAAATGACCATTTTACCCTTGGTCCATCTTGAACCAAAACGGAGGCCCAAATCCAACGATCCACAAAGGCCCACTAATGGCCTAATTTTCCAAATTGGGCCCAACCCCAAGAACACAAGCAAAATGGACCAGAAAGGTCTAGAAATGAAGTCAGTTTACTGGATCTACACTTGGAACAACTTTCCTTGCGACAAAGGAAACCTTCTTGATCTTGAAGCTTAACCAAAAACACCAAAATTAGCACAAAAAATGGTTCAAGGAAAGATGATAAGCTCACAACACTCAAATGAGGCTAGGGTTTCTCTCAAGGGATGTTTTAGGGCTAATAGAAGCTAAAAAATAATAACCCATATGGGTTAAGGTGCTTTAAATAGTCCCACAAACCCTAAAAGTCGTTCAACCCATGTGCATGGGCGCCTGGACATAAATTTCCAGTTTTTCAGTTTACAGACTTTCAACGAATAAGCAGTTTTAAGTCATAATAAAATACGTATGAGGAATTCATATGTTACAGTTTATATTAATAACTTGTGGACACTTAATTTCTAAAATACACATGTATTATATTACCACTTAACTCTAACTTCATTTAGCTTAAATTAATCGTATGTTTCATAAGAAACACTAATGTATGATTGGTACCAGGGTCCCGTGTCTAAAAACGACATGTTATATTGTACTTTTTGGTTGTGGTGTTAGTATCATAATATGAAACAAGATGAAAACAACTTGCCAAGATAATAAATTATGTATACAAATAGTCACCTGACCAAGTAGAAAAATGTTGAAAAATAATTCATTAGTGTGGTTTTATGACTATTTTGTAATGTTATTTTACATGTTAAATACAATTACATTTTGTATGATAACATTTTCTACACTAAAACATTAAGTCTCTACATTTTAAATTATGTAGTATGATAGATATAAAATAAATCTATAAATTAAAAGATTAAAGTGAAACTTTAGGGGTCATGTAATTTATCATATGTTACAATTATGAGAATTTATAACACATTTAAAAGATGTACTATATGGAAATTGAGCATAAATTACCACACAGGTAAGTATAGTGAGAAGACTCACCTCGAATGTTGAGGCTTAGTGAAAGAAATCCCTAGCTGCTTCCCTGACGACTTCCCGATCTATTAGTAGAAAATAACATCCAATTAGCAATTGGGTTCCGACCTATGGCCCATAATCCAAACTTAGGGTAAAATGACCATTTTACCCTTGGTCCATCTTGAACCAAAACGGAGGCCCAAATCCAACGATCCACAAAGGCCCACTAATGGCCTAATTTTCCAAATTGGGCCCAACCCCAAGAACACAAGCAAAATGGACCAGAAAGGTCTAGAAATGAAGTCAGTTTACTGGATCTACACTTGGAACAACTTTCCTTGCGACAAAGGAAACCTTCTTGATCTTGAAGCTTAACCAAAAACACCAAAATTAGCACAAAAAATGGTTCAAGGAAAGATGATAAGCTCACAACACTCAAATGAGGCTAGGGTTTCTCTCAAGGGATGTTTTAGGGCTAATAGAAGCTAAAAAATAATAACCCATATGGGTTAAGGTGCTTTAAATAGTCCCACAAACCCTAAAAGTCGTTCAACCCATGTGCATGGGCGCCTGGACATAAATTTCCAGTTTTTCAGTTTACAGACTTTCAACGAATAAGCAGTTTTAAGTCATAATAAAATACGTATGAGGAATTCATATGTTACAGTTTATATTAATAACTTGTGGACACTTAATTTCTAAAATACACATGTATTATATTACCACTTAACTCTAACTTCATTTAGCTTAAATTAATCGTATGTTTCATAAGAAACACTAATGTATGATTGGTACCAGGGTCCCGTGTCTAAAAACGACATGTTATATTGTACTTTTTGGTTGTGGTGTTAGTATCATAATATGAAACAAGATGAAAACAACTTGCCAAGATAATAAATTATGTATACAAATAGTCACCTGACCAAGTAGAAAAATGTTGAAAAATAATTCATTAGTGTGGTTTTATGACTATTTTGTAATGTTATTTTACATGTTAAATACAATTACATTTTGTATGATAACATTTTCTACACTAAAACATTAAGTCTCTACATTTTAAATTATGTAGTATGATAGATATAAAATAAATCTATAAATTAAAAGATTAAAGTGAAACTTTAGGGGTCATGTAATTTATCATATGTTACAATTATGAGAATTTATAACACATTTAAAAGATGTACTATATGGAAATGAGCATCATGTTCATTTACCTCTACAGTTTCTTTTTAAACATAATCATAATGTGTGAACAAGATCTATTTATCAATAACTTAGTAAAGCATATTTATGGAAGTGAAAAGAATCATGAGATTGTCAACTACAAAATCAATAAAGCGCCTTTATAGAAGTGAAAATAATCTTGGAATCATCAATGAACTCTAAAAGCAAGAAGTATCTTCTCCAAATAATTGTTCTTCACTTGATTTAACATCTATCAAATTTATGTTTAATTGATCATGTCATTATGCCTAATAACATCATATATACAAACTACGCAGTTTTTAAAAAACAAGAAGGAAACCCGTAAATTACCTTAAAAATAACTACCAAGTAAAATGTCTAAAAAAGCTAGTTTACACTTTACATATTACTCGTCTTGTTATAAGGTGGTCGACAACTCCTGTTTACCTATATTGACACGGAGTCCACGATGGGAAATGACAAATTTGTCATTTTCCACTTATCACACACGTGACATCCAACAAATCAAAACCCAACGCTTTTCATGAACAATTTTAATTGCGTAACAGTCCCTCAAGTTCATAAACATGGTTGGATATTTTCATATTATGAATAATTTATCATCCACACCCAATACGTATTTATTATTGAGAAATACTTTTTTGTTATTCATCTTTTAGCTATTTCGTGTTTATTTATGATGGTATATCAATATTAAAACAAGGAGAAATGAGCTGTTATTATGCTTATTTCAAATTTTTAAACCTACTATATAAATGATAAACCATATCATCTTAATGTTCACCTCAGTTTGCTACAAGACCTACATATGTGATCAATAGCAGAAAACTAGTAATATTTTAGATGTTTTAAAGTTTGAACCCTAAACTCATGTGCGGAATTTCACCTATCAATCATTAGATTCTTATTGTAGACGTTAAACCTATTATATATCAGCTAATATAAAGACAATCAGATAACAAATAGTGTCTATTATTTTGATATCTATATATGTATGCATACTTTCAATAAAATATATTTTACAATGAATAATAAAAAAAAATTAGACATGTCACCGCATATAGCATTTTTATATACAAAAAAGGTATTAAATTACAAGGGATTAAGTAGCATTTACCCAAACTACAAGGACGAGATACACATCACCTGTTCATCGCCTATGTACTCTGCAACACCAGGACATGTGTACATCACAAAAGGGTAAATTTGTCATATCAATTACCCAACAGTCCACGTGAGAAAACACCAGTCTCTTACGGCACGTGTCACCTCACGCCTAAAACCTGTACCGAATTTAACCGTTCGCATACTATTTGTTTCCTCACTTTCTCTCTCTCTATAACCACTCTCTCCCTCACACAGTCGCAACCTGGACTCCACCGCTCTCCTCCATCTTCTCTCTAAATCTCTCTTCCGTAACAGCCGTCGGAGTTAATGTGACGACCACAGCCATGTCAGAGAGCTTGGAGAACGATTACAAGCTCTGTGAAGAGCTCGGCCGAGGTCAGTTCGGGATCATATATCGTTGTTTTTCACTAACTTCTGGTGAAGCTTTTGCATGTAAATCGATTGACAAGCGTCTCCTCTCTGACTCCACGGATCGGGAATGCATCAACAAAGAGCCGAAAGTCCTCCGCGTCCTCGCCGGAAACGCTCATGTGATTCAGATTCATCGTCTCTACGAAGACGAGAACTGGATCCATATGGTGGTTGATCTTTGTGATGGTCCGGATCTCTACGATCGCATCTCAAAACGCGGTGGTGCGTTTTCAGAGTCTGAAGCGGTTTCGATTTTCACTCAGTTGATTGAAGCGATTAGTTATTGTCATAGATTAGGCATTGCACATCGGGACATTAAGCCGGATAATGTGTTGTTTGATTCAACCGGGAAATTGAAGCTGGCGGACTTTGGATCGGCGGAGTGGTTCGGGATGAATGAGCGTGGAACGATGACCGGAGTAGTCGGCACGCCGTACTATGTTGCACCGGAGGTTTTGTTGGGGAGAGAGTATAATGAGAAGGTCGACGTTTGGAGTGCCGGTGTAATTCTGTACATTTTATTAGGCGGAGTTCCTCCATTTTATGGTGAAACGTCGGTGGAGACATTTGAGGCTGTTTTGCGAGGGAATTTAAGGTTTCCGGCGAGAATTTTCAGGTCAGTTTCACCGGAAGCGAAGGATCTGTTGCGGAAAATGCTTTGCAAGGATGCTTCTAGGCGATTTTCAGTCGAACAAGTTTCAAGTAAGGCATATAACTCGTTTTCTTCTAAGATTTATTTTAATAATTTGAAAATCTGTGAGTGTTTGTTGGGTATTGAATGATTTTGTTGAATATTCTTGAAGGGCATCCATGGGTTATAAATGGAGGTGCGAATCGATCAAGTGGCTGATTTAAACTGAAATATGCTCCTTTCTTCTTCAAGCTATAAAGAAAGCATAAGAAGTAAGATAAAGCTAGCTTGTAGGTGAATAAGGTAATGAGTTTTGTAAATGTTTGGAGAATAAATAATGACGAGAGAAGTAAACGTTGTAAATATGGTAAGAGATGAGAAACTAGTCAACTAGGAGGGAGGGATAGAACTTTGCAATGAGTTATGATGATGAGAATGTACTTGACCTTCTTTTTGTAGAAAAGATATGGAATCGTCTATCTTTGTCTAGAATTCAATTGTTGCATGATGATGATAACCACATGTGTTAACAATGGAATCAAAATTTATACACTCTTATAACTATTGTTGCATGATGATGATAACCACATGTGTTAACAATGGAATCAAAATTTATACACTCTTATAACTTGTTATTCACTCAAACCCCAAGTCTTGAATTAATACTAAACATACAAAGTTCAATTGTGTTCAACAATGAATAAAAATACCAAATATTCAAATTTTAATTGAATTCTTCTAATATCAAAATACCATAAAACTTAAATATTAAAAAAAAAAAAAGTTCTAACACATTCTAGTATTTATGAATGGAATTCAAATCAACACTTTCCAACACAACCGATCATTATCTTCATTCACTGCAGTGTCGCACAATTTTTACCAGTCATACAATTTTTACCAATAGACACATAAGCTATAGTGCCATTTTTATTAATGACAAAAATGGTTAGGGCGTTTTAACATTACCATCGGTAAATGAGAAAGAAATAGTGAGAATTTGAATGGTAAAAGAGGAAAGAGAAATCAATAAACTTCCACCGATGAAAACTACCGACGGTAAATCAAATGGTTAAGGTTGGTGTTCACCGGCGGTAATATGCTCCACGTATGCATACCGCCGGTAATATCATTACCACACCCCACAGTCTTATAGGTAAATACCACACCCCACAGTCTTATAGGTAAAAAGTAAACATTATTATATAATCATGAACTAATTAAATATAAAATGTACAATTATAAGCTAATCATTAGTTAGTTACAGAAAAAAAACCAATATGCAATCATTAGGGGTATGAATATTCTAACTATGTCATTATATATATTTTTCGGTTAGTTTTATAAAACATTATTTTTTATTAACTAGTTTTTCATACAACAACTATTTTTCAGCTAATATCTCAAACGTATAAACATTTTTTAAACACGATTGTTTTCTATACATCCCTTAAAAACTTAAAGTTCAATTGTAACGCCGTAAATTTTCAAACAAAATTTTCATTTTCAAAACCACATAATTCTCAATATCACATTTCAAAAAAACCACAATTGTCAAATTGTCAAAAACAAAAATTCATAAATTGTTTGATAAATTCCAAGATCCTCAAAATCATAAACTCCATCTCGTGTGTACAATCAAGCCGGCTCCTTCCCGCGATCCTAAGAAGTACCTGAAACACATATCACTTAACACGATAAACACAAAGCTTAGTGAGTTCCCCAAAATACCACACGCAACAATTAGCCTCTCATGGTTATAACTCGATAAGGACCCTCCGGTCATGTGTTCCAGTGAGGACCCTCCGGTCTCACAACTCGGGTTGGACCCTCCGGTCCTAACCAACAAAGCACAGAATAATATACAACATAAATCACAAAGACAAATACACGATATCACATAACACAATATAATCATATAAGACCCTTCGGTCACACAGTATCACCACTCAGGTAAGTATAGTGAGAAGACTCACCTTGTAAGTAAGCGAGTAAGCCTTGTACCCCTCGAACAGTCTAATCCCCGCCTACATGCCATAATCATCTCTAATTAACACTTATAACCACAACTCTAAATAAATTAAGCTAACCCTCACTCTAACTCTTGGAATGGGTAAAAGACCATTTTACCCTTCCGTGGTCTCCACAATCCATGTCTTGACCAACCCTAACGTCAACATAAGTCAACACTCGAGTCAACAGTCCATGTTGACCCAACTCATCGAGTGCATCTATGTGACTCGTCGAGTTCCCTCGTTTCCTCAGAAATGTCGTGAAAAACCAACTTAACTCGTCGATTTGTCTCGTCAACTCACCGAGTTACAACGTGTACAGACTCATCGGGGAAAACCCTAACCGACTCGTCGAGTCGGCTCACCAACTCGTCGAGTCCCTTCAGTCCATTTTCTTATTCAGACGATTTCAGGCAGAAATAAGGTCTCATACTCTGGATCTAGCCTTCTAAGACTGAATCATCACGTAAAGCTGCAAGCTTTACGTTCATGCATGGCATCTAGGGCTCAAAATGCCAAAACAAGCTCCATAAAGGTTTTCATGCATGAAAACTTGCCCAAAGCTTGTAAAGCTTAGATCTTTGGGCTCATGGGACCTCATTTTGTCCAGATCTGGAGCCTCAACCCCATGGCAAGCTCCAGCAACTCAAGAACCACAAGATAAGGGGGGAAAAAGCCCTAAAACTCCCTTGAAAGAGATCTATCAAAGACATGTGGTAGCTTTTTACCTCCAAATTGAAGCTAGCACAGAGAAACACTTGATCCACAAGCCTCTTCTCGTTCCAAGGCTGGATGCTCTTCACTCCTCTTCCAAATGTGCACTAAAACACCCAAAGTTAGCTCCTCTCTCTCTCTCTCTCACAAATGGATACACATGATTAGGGTTTCTCACAGAGGGTTGCGATGCTAAGGGAGGCGGAAATGAGGGCTTAAGGTCCTTTAAATAGGACACAAACCCTGGAAATTAGGGTTTTCTCACCCAGCTCCTACTCGTCGAGTCGGGGTCCTCTGACTCGTCGAGTAGACTCTAAAATCCTGCAGCCATTACACTCTCTACTCGGCGAGTTGGTGCTCCCAACTCGTCGAGTTGCCCTGTCGAAATGGATAAAATTAATTAAATAATATACATGGGACTCGGGATGTTACAATTCTCCCCCACTAGAATCAAACTTCGCCCTCGAAGTCATCCTCCGGAAACAACTCGGGGTACTGCTCTCGCATCTCGGACTCCGGCTCCCAAGTCCACCCGGATTCCTTCCGATGCTGCCACTGAACCTGAACCAAGGGAACCTCTTTGTTCCTCAAGACTTTCACCTTCCTATCCATGATCGCCATCGGTCTCTCAATGTAATTCAGGCTTTCATCAACCTGAATGTCCTCTAAAGGGACCACTGCCGTCTCATCGGGTACACACTTTCTCAGCTGAGATACATGGAAGGTGTTATGAATATGGCTCAAATCTGCTGGTAGCTCTAACCGATAAGCTACCTTCCCCACACGAGCGATCACTCTGAATGGACCGATATATCTAGGACCCAACTTTCCTTGTTTCCTGAATCGGATCACCCCTTTTCATGGGGATGCCTTCAGGAGGACAAAATCTACGACCTGGAACTCCAGTTCGGATCGTCGTCGGTCTGCGTAACTCTTCTGACGACTTTGGGCTGTCAGTTTCGTCTGTCTGACCTGTTGAATCTGTTCAGTCGTCTTGAGCACTATCTCAGTGCTCCCCATCACCCTCTGCCCTACCTCTCCCCAACAAATGGGAGTTCGGCATCTCCTCCCATACAAAAGCTCGAAGGGAGACATACCGATACTGGAGTGATGGCTATTGTTGTATGAAAACTCAGCCAAGGGCAAATATATGTCCCAACTTCCACCGAAGTCCATAACACATGCACGCAACATGTCCTCGAGCGTCTGAATCATCCGCTCACTCTGTTCGTCTGTCTGCGGGTGATAGGTTGTACTGAAGTGCAGCCGGGTACCCAACTCATCATGAAATTTCTTCCAGAACATGGAAGTAAATCGTACATCCCGATCTGACACTATCGATGTTGGCACCCCGTGTCGTGCCACCACCTCTCGAACGTAGATCTCGGGCAATTTCTCAGCAGAAGAGCTCTCACTAATCGCCAGAAAGTGAGCACTCTTCGTCAACCGGTCTACAATCACCCATATCTCATCAATGCCTCGTGTGGTCCTCGGTAATTTGGTGATAAAAATCCATAGAAATTTGCTCCCACTTCCACTGGGGAACCTCCAAGGGCTGTAACTTGCCATGAGGACGTTCGTGTTCCGCCTTGACCTGACGACAGGTCAAGCATCTCTCGACTACCCAAGCCACATCTCTCTTCATACACGGCCACCAATAATCCCTTTTTAAGTCCAAATACATCTTGGTGGCTCCTGGATGAATCGAAAATCTCGACCTATGGGCCTCCTCCATCAAAATACGTCGGACTTCACCCGTATATGGCACCGATTGTTGGGTTTTGAGCACTATAACACTCCTATGGTGCACATGCAACCCTAAAAGCTTTGGATCTATGTTTTCTCTAATTATACATGCATTTTCAATTTTTCCAAATCATTCTCCTAACTAGCATACAAAATGTCAAATGAACAATACAACTAGTTAGATTACTTACCTCTTAGAAGGACTTGTAGTTCTTGACCTTTGAAAGCTTGAGCACCTAAGTGTGATGCCTCTAATGGTTCACAAACACCAATATGCAGGAGGAGGCTTGAGAGAATAAGTTACTTGCACAAAATCAATATCACTCTTCAAGAATGAAGTGGCACACACACGTAACCGATTTTGGCCATGGGGGGTTTCTTTTTTTAGTGTGGCAAATGCTAGGGTTACACTTTGTAAAGCCTAATGACTTTTCATCTTACTTAGGATCCATGGTTTAACCTCCATAGACTATCCATGGATTATCTCATTGGTTTAGCCCATCCTAAATAACCATGGATCATTAACCCATTGTTAGAATCATTGATTTACACAATGAATCCTCATATATTTAATTAGTCTCTTTTGATCACAAAATTAATAAATTAATTCTTGATAAATACTAATTAAATAATATGATTTCATATTAATATATTATACTTATAATATATTAATAAATCATAAATAACTTTATTCTCAAAAGTCCATCCTATCAAATTGCACTGGTGAAGGCAACCCAAAATGACCATGCTACAACCGGGTCAAGTACATCCCAGTTATAGTTGTGGGCTTAGACACCAAATCCAACTGTCTCCCACTTGGATAAGTCTAATAACTATAACTGTTAATGCGACTTCAGGATCCGACTTAGCAATCATAAGCTTTCAAAAGCATTTGTCGAACTCTGACCTAGTCAGTGACGCGTCCTTCATATAAGGGATCATATATTCCTCTGTTCTCAAGATATCTATGCGGAC